TGCGGATATCCTGGGGGATCCTTTGTGGGATTGATCGGAGATGGAAGGAACCTATTGTCAACGTATATGCGAACTCTTGTCAAAAATGGAGAGAAGTCCATCTGTAAGGACTTCCACGGACACTCGAGTCACTGCAAAATTTACATGAGTAAAAACGATTATAAGAAAAGGTGTATCCCTCTAATAGTATGTAATTATAAGATTTTGAGTATTTTAGTATGTAAAAATTAATAAAAAATAAGATAAGTTTAAGTATAACAATAATTAATAGATATAATAATTAAATTCAGTTTATTATATACTTCTGCTTATATTATCATAAATATTATCTTTTTATTTTATTTTAAAAGTTTTAATATTTCATACTTATCTGCATTTGAATCTTATATTTATTTTATCATTTTAAATGTAATAATAATAATAATAATAATTTCTGATTGAGTAAGTACATCATCAATTTATTCATTTCACTATATTTTTATGTACTATTAAACTTAATCACACGTAATATAATCTATTAAACTAATCATTTATGTGATAGAACTTAATAGTGATGAATATATACGTCTCTTTAAGTTTGAGTATTATATATATATATATATATATATATATATATATATATATTATATTATTTATTATTATTATTTTTGAGTTATAAGAATGATATTTAGAATTATATTAACCATATAAAGTTCGTTCTTTTTTTTAATATTAATACAATTATTTACCACTTTTACGTTTACATCAAGATCCGTTTTAATAGTTTAATATGCCTAAACTTAGGAAGAATGAATTTTTTTTTCTCCAATCTTGATAGTTTGACATTTGATCACTAAAACAACCATAAACTAAGTTATAAGCATTGTTTATTTTGGAAACCTATAAAATTAGTTAGCAGGCACTTAGAGTTGTAACTTTTATGAATAGTTTTTCTAAATTTGGTACAAAAGTATGCTTAAACAAGGGTTTGTTATCTTTTAATCAAAATACACTTTTCAACGTATACCTCCCATATCTTGGTTGGTGAAGTCACACCTATATGAAAAAAATCTCAAATATTCTTTCAGCATATGCCTCTCACATGACAGAGAGAGATATGCATAAGACCTAAACTAATATGCAACATATGATATTATTATTATTGAATCAAAAGTAAGTTGACAAAGACTCACTCAGAAATATTAAGAGAGAAAAAGACTTATACAACGATCGTAAGAGTTAAAATAGAAAACCAACTACAACAGGGAACTTTAGATACAAAATGAGACTTAATATTGAGACTTTACGACACATACAAGTTAAGTATTCATTTTCCTATATATTTATTTCGGACTCAAAATAATGTCACTAAACAAATTGCTTGATTAAGAGATAAAAGATAATCATCAATAATAAGATATAGAACTATGTGTATAATATTAATGAATTGTTTTTTCCATTATTTATAATTTTTTATTTACTTCTTAAAATAATTTGCTCATTTCAGAAGAGTCAAATGCTTTATTAGATAGTAAAAGTTTGAGTCCAATTGATTCTAAATTTTGAAAAATAAACAGTAATAAGTAAATGTTATCCCTTATGTAAAGATAACATAAATAATTTGTTAATTAAAAATTACCAATTAATATTCCAACAAACTTTTATGAATACAATTTTACTTTTACTTTAAAAAACATTATGATCTCCCACCTTAAACCAATGTCATGAACTTTATTTGGATAACCATAGCCTGTTATTTTAGTTTTAATTAAATTCTATCACATACATAATTTGTGGAGTAAACTTCTTTGAAAATGTGTCTGATCAAGCTGAGTAATACATAAAACGTTATCATGTGAAAAAGGACTTTAATGCTGACCATTTATTAAAATTAGTATCATACGAACGTTAAAGCTTGTTTAGAAAAGTATGAAACTTTGTTAAATTTCTTGTGACTCTATTATATTTTATTTTACTAAATATTTGCTTGTATTATTTTTCATTCTAACAATATAGTATTTCTAAAATGTTTTTGTATTTTTTACTGTAAAACTAAAGACATTTTCAATGAATAAAATAACTTAAAGTTAAATGATGAAATACTTTGAGAGAAGTAATAAAATTTTATTGAAGGAAGTTGATGATGACTTATTTAAAATGGCTCTTTTAAAATGAAATGGATAGGATATAAAGTAGTTGAAAAGAAAAAAGAAAAAAAAAACAGTACCATGTGGGAAAAAAACTGTATACTTATTTCTATTTATTTATTTTCACTTTTTATTCGTTTTTATTAATCCAAACAATTCAACTTTGACATTGCTTCTCTTTTCTTTTCTTTTTCACTCTAATTGAAACAAAGGCTAAAAGATAGTAACAATGAATTAATTATAAATAAAATATCATTCCGATGTATGTTGGTAAGGCCATGTCATTAGTATAGTGTGTCCGCAAATTCTGCTTATGACTAATTTTCAGAAAAGAAACCTGAATGACTTTCTTTATCAAGGTCTTTCTCTTCCATCCAAAAGGAAATGGAAATGCAAAACGTCCCATAATCACAAATCAAATGCAGTGTCTAGACAACTTATCTACAACATCCTAAGCAATGGGCCCAAATTTTGACGCACTTTAATAGACACATTAGTGGAATCTGAACTTATTCACCAATCTCTCTACTTTCGGTGATGGTGTTCAAATCAACTTCCTATCTAATCTTAACGATATTTTAGGGGCAGACAGAAAGCCTAAAGCGACAGATGAACTTTTGCATTATTATGATGCAGAACCAGGATTGGAAAAATTCCAGTATCACAAATTCAAGAATACAGGCTGAGATTTACAAGAAATCCAATCAATACATGTGTACCAAAATCAGCACGTCTTCATGTGTAATATAATAAATAGTGGGCAATAAGATTTTCTGCACTGCATAATGCATACGCATCCATAATACCCTAAATACAAATTCTTTCAAAAAAATAAAAAGTGGAGGTGGGTGGATTAACTAGCCTGATTGTTCAGAAAACCTAACATAATAGATCCTCATTGTGAGAGCAAAGTTTCAGTCTGCTCGAGAGCCACTGCTACCTGCAGAAGATTTCTTACCAGTATACTTCTGCCAAATATTAAAAGAAACGGAGTGTTATATTTCAGGAAGAAAGAACACATATAAAAGCAAACCTTACTTGTGCTGGACTAAAGTTTCGCAAGAAACAGTAACAATTGTACAAATAAACTATGGAAGGGAAATCTAAGAATAAGACCAACCTGCTTCCCCAAGTTAAATGGGATATATTTGTATTTGATCATGTGTGCAACTTGGCGCCTCATTGTAAGGACAAAGAGAACAAACCAGTAACAGAGTAATATAGGCCAAAAGACAGGAACATCAAACGGGGAAAAGAAGGTCATCACAAACGCTATGCAGAGGGCCTTGGTGAAAGAATACCTACACCCATTACAAAATTCACACGCATGAAAAACAACAACCACTTTCAACAAATAAAGAACTTGCAGACACAAATGAACTCACACCACCCAAATCACTTCCAATTTAGACTCCAGTTAGACAACCAACCAGACAATACTTACAGAAAAAGAAATTAATGAAAGGAATCAAGTTTCTCCAATAAATAGTTTTTAGAACTTTCTCATTTATACGCATCAATGTATTCCAAAAACTGATTTTAATATACAGAAGAAACTAATGATTTATTTCGTGGATATGTTTCTCTATTAACACTTTCAATAAAAAAAAAATATGAAGTAAATTTTTCCACATACTCAAATCGGTTCATGCATTGGTTAGAAATTACATTTTGGATAAACCAATACGAGAAAACTTTTACAAATTAAGATACAAATAAGCTAACTTTTGTTCTATAAGTGATTACTGAGAAGTAGTTTATCCAAACAGTAACATATTACATAAGCTAATTCTAAGATAATTTTTTCAATAAAAGCTTCGAGACGAGAAAAATATAAGGAAAATTTAAATTAATTCTTTCATAAGCTATAATTAACTTATGTACAATTTAATGCCTAAAAGTTCTTATACATTTGCCCTAAATTTTAACTTTTACAGAAGTTAATTCTAGATTATAGAGAAACTTATGTCATTATCTTTTCTTCCTATTCCTCTTTCAGAAATTTGGAGAAACTCTTCAAATAGAACCCTAAGTTTAATTCCCTTCATCTTCCTATTTCCTCTCCTTGTAAGTGCAACATGGTAAACTCAGGCAGCTACAAACTGGACTATAAACTATCGTTTAAGATGCAATTTCAATTCCAGGGATACAAAAGAAATCCTGAATTAGCATAACTTAAAATAAAACCTAGAAAGAGTGTGTCTGAAAAGTTACCAGAACTTAAACTCAGGGAGGCGGCGAATGAAGGGTTTGAACTCATCGGATCCTTTGGTGGGAAGCAAAGGGGAGTTGGAGGGATCGAGCTCTGGATCAACCAAAGGTGAGAGAAAACCAATCAAGAGATTGAGGAGGTAGATTCCGAGGCCGTAAGAGACAACGTAAAACCCCTGCACGTAAACAATACGCAAGACGTAGATGGATGCCATGACCAATGTCCCAATCCATCTGTAGGCGGAATGGGGGGTAGATTTGTCCAGATAGTACTGAAACAGCTTAGAGAACTCCTGCAGATATTGCTTCACCGGCGCAGACGACGGAGCAGCGCCACCGCCACTGCCACTTCCCTCCATTCCAACAGATTCTGACGCTTCAAATTTAGAATCGCAACAAACGAAAGCAATCGTTCACTGTTAATGTTATTTATCAAGGTTTAGGAAATAAGGGGAAAGGAGATCTGGGAGGGGGAAAAGAAACCCTAAGAAGGTGGAAAAGAAAAGAAAAGAAAAGAAAGAGAAAGAGAAATGAAGAAATGAAGAAGAATGGAAGCTGACCTGTCTGAGCGGATCTACAAGGTGGCTTTGAATGTTTGATTCCGTCAACCAACTTCTCTTCTGTCTCTCATGTCATGTTAAGAGGTTGGAAGTGGAAATTAAGGTTCTGTTTTCTGTTGTATGTTATTTCTCATCTCATTCTAATGCTAACTCTTTATTACTTACCATCTCTACCCTTCTCTACTGCATCTAATAAAAACAATTATTTATTATTTTCACTTTCAATTTAAACTCAGTTTAATTATAAAATAGATTGCTATCTGCTTATCTTCCCATTGCCTCTAAATAAATTGCTATAATTTAAAAAATAAAAACAAAAACTTGAAGCTTATTTCCGTTCTAATATTGTCTTTTTCTTGCAAGGTTCCTTGAATTGGGCTTTGCCGGGCGGCCCAATAGACTATGGCCGTTTCAAAGTCCTCATATTATCAGATAATGATTCAAAGCAAAAAAATAAAATAGCAGTGGCAATGGCAATGGCAGCTGTTCTTTGTAAGAAGAAACGTGCAAAAGATGGATTAAAAGACTATCAGAGATACGGATTCTTCTCACGGGAAAACTGTATACAGTCTCTTAAGACTCGGCAAAATTATGAAATATGCCATGAATTTAGAACACAAAATGATAGGTGTGCAGAAATCAGATCAGTGATTACGAATCATGGTTCCATCTTTCACTTGACATCCACTTTGCTCCAAGGCAAATTCAAAAAAACCACCTCCATTAATGGTAGAATTAACACATGGTGGGGCAAACTGCAGAATTATATCCCTCAATGTGAGAAAGCCTGTAACTTGCTCCTTATCATTGACCAGAAAGCTGAAACTGCTGTTAGTCGCTGTGGTATGCTCCATTATTTGCTTCAGCGTTGCATTTTCCTTGCAGGCAACAGGAAAGTCCATTCTGGGTATGAAGCTGTTTTTCAGCCGAAGACTTCCTGCCGTGAGAAAAGCTCCATGATCACGTTCAATTCTTGGCTTAGTTTCTGCTTTGTCAGTCTCCATGTGAATGAATTCCCCCACAGTTAAAACCCTGTCATTGCGTATAAACAGGCACCTCTGTCATATTGGTTATATTAATATTGAGAGATAGGACATGTCTTGAACTTACGTTCTACTTCTAAAGATGTCATTATTCCTTACAAGAATATGAACATCACTTTTCCTCACATTACCAAGGAGCTTCTTAGTTTGTCGATCTACAACAGCTACTGCGCTAGTTTGGTTTTGCCAGAACGTCTTTAAAGCATCTGCGACAGTTTGGTCCGAAAATACACAACTAGGATTTTCTAGGCCTTCAAATCTGTGCAAGGACAAGAAAAGGGTCAAAGAGAAAGAAATCAAGATTGCCAATTCACTTTAGCAAGTGGAGAATGGATGTATCATGTATGTACATCAAGGAATGTGAGTTGAATACCGCAAATCTGACAACTTCTTGTCTGCAATGCTATCAAACCACTCTAGTTCACTTGATTGAAGAAGGTGTTGGACTACTGCATTCTAGCAGAAAAGCACAGCAGCATATTACAGTAAGATATCTGTGCTTCGGCCCATATAATTCTAAACCTGTGCTTAACTCAGCAGATACCTGCGTAACAAAACCGATGAGTCCATCTTCACGTTGCTGTATGACCGGCAAAACGTGCACCAGATGCTTAGAGAGAAGTAGCAGTGCATGAAACACCGTATCATCCAAGTTTACGGGGAAAAATGGTTCCCAGAGGAATGACATAGCCAACTCGCTAATCTAGTAATATTGAGTAGTAACTTAAAATTAACAATGTGTTCAAGTGGACTGCTTATAATGAGATCCATTCCCAGTCTCCTATCAGGGCAAAAGTTTTTCAAACAAATTTTGGGCATGCTTTGCAAGGAGAGAATAAAGCTTTGAATAATTTTCCCTTCAAGATCTCGTAGAAGAAAAAACAAGATTGAATGAATTGAGTCCGTTAGAAACTAAAATGAAGTTGTGCTATTAAATTTATAGACTGTTTTTTCCATTTAACTCTTCAACTCAAGAAGTATAAGTTGATTATTCACAAAGTGAAGGTAGCATAAAGAAAACGCAGGAAACCTTGGTTTGCCCAATCTGAGGAATATGGTCCAGGACGGAGAAAAAGCCACAGTGCTTGATATATTCGAGATTGTCGGTGGTCTTTTCATATTCCTTTCAAATACCATGTGTAATTAGAATGGCGTGGCATTTGGGTGGGAATATGACAGATGGAAGGTTTCTCAAAAATACAAGTAATACCTCAAGGCACCAAAGAACCATGCTTGTAAAATCAACGAGACCAATGTACTGATCTGAAAACATTATGTTATCCGCATCGGAGTCCAACATGTCAACAATTGCTGCAGAAAAGACGTCCTTTTCGTACAACGTACGAATTGCATCCCTTATACTGTCTCCAGCTTTCAGTTCCAAAACTAAGGATACAAGAGACAGGACATGCATTGAATCATGTAATGTTCACGACATGGATTGATTCTTGAACAAAAACATAAGTAGGCAACGAATGTAAAAGTACCAGGTGAGTTTTTTATGCCAGGTATCGAACTGATGGGTATGCGATCAAGAAATTGTTGAAGGGCGGTGCCAGA